CCAAACAGTCTCGCGCCAGCGATCGTCGGCCACAACATCTGTCAACGCGGCCCGCAGTGCCACCAGCCTCTCCATCATGATGACGTTCGTGCCGAAACGCGTCTCCGCCGGTAGCAGAAAAGTCTTCGTCGAGTGCGCCTCAAGAACCTCTCTCGCATGTCCATGGCGCTTGAAGAACCTTGTAACCAGCCTCGCTTGAGAAATTCGGGAAGCAACCCAATCAATCTCGCTGATGTCCTCGAGAATGAGATCCATGATGTGGATGACGCAAGGAATCCAGAAGATGTGTTTCACGCTCTCATCTTTTTGGAATACCTCCATCGCCTCGACGTTCGCCCCGGCGGAGTCCGTCACGAACGCCGTGATGTCGCTCAATTGAACGTCCATGGACTTCACCATTTTCAACCATGCGTTCGCGAGGGCACTGACGTCCTTTTTGCCACGCATGACGTCGGTGGAAACATACACCACCCCGATCTCTGTACCAACAAGGTAGTTGCACAACGTCTGACCACGGATGTTGGTCCAACCATCGGTCATGATTGTGCAACCGGTCTCTCTCGACGTGTCAAGCACCGGCCGAACACACTTCTGGACCTCACCATCCAGCTCGTCCAAAAGGGTCGTGCGCAGCATGTGGTACGAGGGAAGTCTAGGCGCGGGCGCCCCTGGAACCCCCGGCGGGATTATCATCGTGAACATGCGTTTGAAGCTTTCAAGCTTCGTGCTGTTGAACGGCATCCCGCTCTCGACGATGAACCGCATGATTTGCAGATGCCATGCGCGCTTCAAAGGGTCCAAATAATATGACGTGACAGCTTGCTGCCTGTAAGTGCCCCGACATCGTCCCGTCGTAGCTCTCCCACCGAGGACCCCAGCATCCAACAACCCGCCAGGGCTCACAGGTGTCGTGCTCTGGGCGACTGCAAGGTCACGAATGCGCTGCAAAGGGTCTAACGTTCCGGTCAACACGGGTGGAGGCTGTGGGGCAGACCGACCACCGCCCGTGGTTGTCGGAACAAGGGTCGGCGATGAATCGGACACCGGAGCGGGGACCTCCTCGGCAGGCACCCCATGATCCACCTGTTCCCCGAAACGAGGCACGGAAGCAGAATATCGAGCATCTCGGCGTGTGACGGATCCGGGTGGGCGGTTCCGTGAGCGTGGTGGACCATTGGACGCTGCGCCGCTCTCGACGGTGGCGGTGGCAGCCAGGGGTGCTCCGACAAACTGCGGGGTGATGCGCCAGGTGCCACCGCTGTACCACCCCATGCGGCATCTGACTGCCTAGCACTCCTGAAAACAAGGGAGAGCGCGGGCGCTGAACTGTCGGCACTCCCCCCCCACCTGCAACTCTCAATAAATGCACGAGTGCTCTCCTCGTCAAATGCCGCAGAGCCCACACCATCCCTCAGAGGCGGGGGCTCGTTGGCTGGCGTGGAACGACCAACTCCCACATCGCGAGCACCTCGTGTCCCAACCAGCGGCGCAGACGGTGGGGCTGCCGGTCGTGTTGCAACTGTTGTTGCAGGACGCGATACCGTGACTCGAATGGCCGGAGCCCCAGAATTGGGCGATGCGACGGGTCCAGAAGGGGCGGTGGGAGGAACCAGCGGCGGCACTGCGTCCTCGGGGAATCGAAGAGGTGGCCATTGCAAGCTCGGATGACCTAGCAAGTGGCTCTGCAACGTTTCTATGGCCGACGCGAACTCCTTTGGACATTTTGTCATGTCCTTCGACCAGATCGCATTCCACACAGCAGGAGTGGCTGCCTCACATCGGAACTTCTCGCTCTTCGAGAAGTGCTCCTTGGCGGCTTTAGCGCCCCCACAAATCGAACGCCCGCACAACCTGCACAGGCATCGACGACCGCTCTTCCTGCCCGCCGCCGTCGACCCATCCAAATAACG